AAAAAAAGAAAAAAAAAAAAGAAAAAAATAGGTACTATTATGGTCTTTCTTTTTTTTTCTTTTTTTTGAGACAGGGTCTCACTCTGTTGCCTAGGCTGAAATGCAGTGGTGCAATCACAGCTCACTGTAGCCTTAAACTACTGGGCTTGAGATCCTTTTGCCTTAGCCTCCTGAGTAGCTGGGACTACAGGTGCACACCACCATGCCTAGCTAATTTTGAAAGTCTTTGTAAAGATAAGGTTTCACTACAAGCCCAGGCAGGTCTCAACTACTGGCCTCAAGCAATCCTCCTGTCTCAGCACCCCCAAAGTGTTGGGATTATAGGCTTGAGCCACCGCTACACCTATTACTGTTTCTTAGATGAGAAAATTGATGCACAAAGCACGTTAAGTGATTTGTCCAAGATGCGAGTTAGTTTTAATAGCATTCCTTGCTTCTGATACAGAAAACATTCACAATTGATAAGGAACTGCAGGTGTGGAAACCAAGCTGATGAATAATAATGATGCCCATTATGAGTCCAGCACAGTACCAGGTGCATTTTATACATCTTAAATCCTCAAAACAACCTGGCAGCCTATGGAGCATTTACACCTGTTTTACTGATGAGGCAATCTGCCCAACTTCCTACAGCTTTTATGGACAATGGACCAAACAGAGGACCTCTGGTACCCCCAGGGACTAGTCATTATATCCAAATCTTGTTGGTCCAACCTGCACTAGGGCTGTTAAAGTTGTCAGAACTTGCTCTAACAATGCCAGCCCCTTAGAGACTTTGACAGACTGTAGTTCATTTTTCCTTTGGAGAGGAAGAAGAGAAATTCTACCATGGAGACTTAGTGATTGGCCCAAGTCCACACCGCAGACAGGAGGATAAATGAGGGAGCTGGGATAAATTATACTGGACAGGTTCCCCAATTCTCAGCTTGGTTTTTTTCTATGAGACCATCCAGCCTCGAATAACTCATTCGTTAGCTCCCTATCCTTTGCAAATATCCCCATCTCCTTGCCATTCTCTTTCAGGCCCTTTGCTTTCTTTCATATCCCAGACAGGGGCTCCTTTGCCACATGTACCCTAATGACAGGGAAGGTAGCATTGTGTCTGCTTAGCGCCAGGCTCCCGTACAGGCCTTTCTCTTTCCTGTAGAAGGATCTCCGCATTCTTTGCTAGTGCAAAGAAGATGTGGAAGGTCACTTTCTCCTGACCTGGTATATGGGTAAATCAATCTAGCATCACAAACCCAGTAACAGAGTTAGGTGATCTGTGTGTAATGGGTTTAGGCAGTGAGTCTCCGGAGCTTAGCCAGTTCAGCATAAAAAAGGCCATAGAAATCCCTCTCTCCGTGAAATCCTCTTGCACACAATTCAGGAAATGTACAAGACAGTGAGAATACAGTCAACCTATTGGAATTTCTTTTTCGAAGACAAAAATAGATTGCAAAGGAAAATTGTTGATTGCCAACCTTCCAGCCTTGTCAGGAGAGTTATCCTGCAGTCAGTCACTAGATATAAAATTCCTAAGGCCTGGGGGCTGGTCAGGTCATTTAATACCATGTCAATATTAAGTTACATCATAAATAATTGGAACTTCCTGAATATTTAACAAGAACTTTGTTGTGTAAATTTGGAAATCATCCAAATTGAGACAACTGACTTACGTTATTGTTTAGCCCTCTGGGTCTAACTCATTGTGGGAGTTTAGTTGTTTTGAACTTTGGTCTTTTTAGCAGAGAGTAGAAAGAAAGGAGTTAAACCAATTGACTTTTAGATAGTCAGTTTCCCTTCCTTTTTTGGTTTTAAATTGATTATTGCTTTTTTCTCATGTAAATAAGATCAAATAAAAATCCAAAGTCATAACCAGGAGAGAAATGTGTGAAATCGCTGTTTAGTTTGCAAGCCTTTAGCAGACTAAGTCAGCTTGGTGGTGACCAACTTTGACCACTCTTGCAGTTGCTAAATGGGCACTTTCTGACATTTGCTATAACTGTCAGATCATTTCTAGTCCAAGAATATTCTAGAGGCTCATAATGCTCATTTGAGTTGGCATCAAATTCGAGACAATAAGATTTGAGTTTCTTCTGGATGGGAATCTGTAATTAAGGTTTCATAAAGCATGAGACATAGTACAAATATAAAGATTAATTATTATTATTATTGTCACCTAAAGAATAAAATCCCAAGTTCTTGTCTACCATTCAAACCCTCTCCCATGCAGCCTCATCCTATCTTACTAACACTGTCTCCCATTGCTTCTCCCAATCCCTCCTTGGCAATGGTCTCCACCTTTTTACTTCTCTCTCAGTATTTCCCAGCTTCTAGACTTAGGCTAAGTTCTCCTTCCTCCTTGAAGCCTTCCTTCCTTACTTCAGTTGCAGGTTATTTCTGAAGCTACCATTTACTGAGACCCTACTCCATGTCAGGTACTGTGCTAGAAATGTGATGCATTATTTCATTTAACTCTTGAAAGGTAGGTGTTACTTTCACATTAAATTTTTTGTTTGTTTTGGATAAGTAGCCTATTTGCATGGTTCAAAAATCAAGACAGTATAAAAATCTACACTTTTTTTTTTTCTAAGATGGGGTTTCACTCTGTCACCCAGATTGGAGTGCAGTGGCACCATCTCGGCTCACTGCAGCCTCGACCACATCAGCCTCCCAAGTAGCTGGGACTACAGGTGCACACCACCATGCCTGGCTAATTTTGTATTTTTTGTAGAGATGGGATTTTGCCATGTTTCCCAGGCTGGTCTCAAACTCCTGGGCTCAAGAGATCCACCTGCTTTGGCCTCCCAAAGTGCTAGGATTACAGGCATGCACCACTGCGGCCAGCCAAAAGATTTAAGTTTAGAAGTATCTTATCCACCTTCCACTATAAGTAATCATTTTTAAAGATATTCTTTGAATAGCTGGGTATGGTAGCATATGCCTGTAGTCCCAGCTACTCAGGAGGCTGAGATGGGAGGATCACTTGAACCTAGGAGGTAGAGGCTGTAATGAGCCGTGATCATGCCACTGCACTTCAGCCTGGGCAACAGAATGAGACCCTGTCTTAATAAAAAAAAAAAAAAAAAAAAAAAAAAAAAAAAGTGGAAAGAGGTCTTCTTTGGTTCCTTCTAGTGGTTGTTTACACACACATACAAAAAAATCAGTAAACACAAATATATACTCTTATTTTCTACCTCTTAGAAATTAGAGCATAATACTGCCCATAAGATGTCCTGTACTTCTCTCTCTCTTTCTTCCTCTTTTCTTTTCCATTTAGCACATATTCAAGAGTACCTTCCATAGCAGTTCTCTGAGAACTTCCCTTTTCTTTTCTCAGTGGCACAGTATTCCATTGTGTGGATGTAGTTCTTGATGGTGGACGCCTGTATTATTTCTAATCTGCTATAAACAACAATGCAGTGAGTGGATTTTTCATATGAATGCAAGAGTATCCATAGGGCAAATTTCCAGACTCGGGCTGCAGGATCAAAGGGTAAAAGCATGCTACATTTTGATAAATATTGTCAAATTTTCTTCCCTGGAGGTCATACCATTTTTCATTCCCACCAGCAATGTATGAAAGTGCAACACACATATCACTATCTATAGTTTATATATGAGAAAACCGAGGCATAGAAAATACAAAATTAACTGGTTAATAACATTCAGGCTGGACCTCAAACTTGTGCCTGGCTGTATTCCTCTCATTTGGTGTATATCAGCTAGTGACTTGCACTGTTACTTGTTTTATATATACATAGGCCTAAACTTTCTAAAGCTTTATTATAAACTCTTTAGGTTTATAACAAAGAGTTTCTAATAAACAGAGGCTGGTCAATCACAGGTGAGAGTAAGGGAAAAGGGAAATAGCATAGAAAAAGTTGGGAAACAAATGCAAGGCGATGCACTGTTATGAGGCCATTGCGTTTGACAAGTCACATGAGACCCATCTGGGCCCTCAATAGGTGCTTCTGCTTGGCCACGAGGGATGGTTGCAGACAAGTAGTGTGGACAAGCCATGCCTTGGAGCAGTCCATGGATAGAGAATGGGAGAAGGAGTTTATCTGTTGCCCTGCGCCCATTCCCTCCTCACATAGGGGGGATAACACACTGCACTTTCTTTCTTCTTCTTCTTTTTTTTTTTTTTTAAATAGAGATGGGGTTTCTCGATATTGCCCAGGCTGGTCTTGAACTCCTGGGCTCAAGCAATCCACCTACCTTGGCCTTCCACAGCACTGGGATTACAGGTGTAAGCCAAAACACCTGGTCTCATACTATACTTTTGAGTTGTGTTGCTCAGCCCTCTCAGCAGCTCCTGGAGAAGCCAGATTTCAAGCTCTGCAGTGCCTAGAAATGGTGCGAGGGACACCGAGTGGGTCACTGCAAGGTCTTGGAGACAGGTGAAGCTAAGAGAGTCTGATGAGGCCACATAAGATGTTTTTCTTTTTCTTTTTTCTTTTTTGAGATAGGGTCTCACTCTGTCATCTAAACTGGAGCACAGTGGCGCGATCTTGGCTCACTGTAACCTTTGTGTCCTGGGCTCCAGCGATCCTCCTACCTCAGCTTCTTGAATAGCTGGTATTACAAGTGCATGCCATTACACCTGGCTAATTTTTTATAATTTTTGTAGAGACAGAGTTTCACCATGTTGTACAGGCTGGTTTTGAACTCCTGGGCTCAAGCAATCTATCTGGTCGGCCTCCCAAAGTGCCGGGATTACAGTTGTGAGCCACCACGCCCAGCCAAGATGTTTTTAATACAGGTATTTCCTTGTATGTCTTTAATTTTGGGCCTTACACCTAAAACATGCTCAACAAAAGTTTGTGTGTGTGTGTTTTTTTTTTTTTTTGCAATTTATTTATTGAAAATTTATACATGTATTGTTTGGCTGTAGAATTCTAAAATCATATTTTCCAAAATGTTTTTATTCCAAATCATAGAATAATTATAGCAAAGGAATACATAAGTCATTCAATTTGCTTCTCAATGTGTTAAACACAGAGAGAATTATTTGCTCATTTGGTAAACATTACCTCGTCTGCTTCTTCACCTTCTTCATCATAAACACCATCATCAACTTCAATAGCTTCTCCAGTCAAGTATGACACTGATCTTAGGATTTACACTCACGTAAAAAGTGACCTATTTTTGAGGTCTGTGCATCATCTCCACTCTCAGGAACTTCAGGAGGGGCAAAAAAATTAAAGAAAGAGTCACTGGAAACTGTGTTAGTCACAGTACGAACTGTCCCGCTTCCCTTGTTTTTATGCTGCTTCTTAATAGTTTTCAAAGTGACATCCTTTCCTTTTTTCCAATCTGTCTGGCCCTCTGTACAACCCATAATTTCTGGTCCATCAAAAGAAAAGGGATCAAAATCATCTGGTTCTGACCTCATCCTGTTGTTAGCACTTCATTTGTAAAATAGTCATTGGGTTCAAAGTGAAACTCTAAGACAAAACTCATAGGCTGGCCAGCAGCTGAGAGCTTCACTTGAGTATCTTTCAAGTGTTTCAGAATAGGTTCATCATGTTGCTGAACCATATCACTGAACAAGTCAACATTCTTAAAAACAGTTAACCAAAATTCAGGAATTCCTTTGGGGTCTTCTTTTTCTTCATCCTTTTTCTCATCTTCGATCTTGGCCTTTTCTTTCAACTCCTCTGAAATCTCATCTTCTTTATTTGATTTCCATTCACATTCTTCTTCCGTGGGTTCATCAATTGCATTAATAATCTCAAATCGTGTATCAAGTAGAGGCTGATAGAGAACAGCATACTTCCTTTCAAGATTGTGAACTTCCTCATAGCATTTGGTTTCTATCTGTGCACATTTAATTTAACTTGCAGGTTTTTGAGAGTATTCACTCGTCTTTTAACTACCCTAGGCAGGCTTTCAATATATCCTGTTGGTGTTTCTACCAGACCATCAAGTCTTTCTCGAAGGGCTGCAAGAATCTGAGGATTTTGCATCATCTGAACAGTTAGCTGACATGCTTTGATTTTTGTTTCTTCACTAGTTTCTTCTTCTTTTACTTCTTCAACATCATCCAAATCTTGATGAAGTTCAGATTGTCAATGTCTGCCATGTTGTAAGAACTCCAAATATCGGCGGCCAGTATGGGGAGCCAGGAGACCTGAGCTGCGCAGGCAGTGACTCAAGGCAGCAGTGGTGGCAGGAGGAGCAGAAGGTGGCACCGCGAGCAGATGGTGCTAAAAAAGAACCGAAGTTTTTTAACTGATCAATTTATTTGAAGTGATATTAATAAAAATACTTCCCTTTATTGTAGGGAGACATTAATGTGTAATAATTAAGAGTTCAGCCTCTAGACACAGACTACCTGAGTTTTAATATGAGCTCTGATACTGATTGTCAATGCACTTCATGTCTCAGTTTTCTCATTTGTAATAATGGGACTAATGCTTAAAATAATACTTAGTGCACAGAAGGAACTATATAAGCATTAACTGTTATTATTATAAATAGCTTTTATCCAGTGTTTGCTACTTGCCAGTCACTGTATTAAGTGCTTTGTGTGTATCATCTCAATTAATCCTCCCAGCAAACCACTGAAGTAGGTCCTATTAACAACTCTATATGAGGTATTATTACTCTTTACAAATGATGAAGTCACTTACTACTTTACAAATGATGAAATCAAGACTCCAAGAGTTTAAGTTATTTGACCAACATCAAATAAGGTACAGTCAGAATGTGATACAAGTTTGTGGACTCTAGTTACTCTATTATGTTATTCTTGGAGAACCAATTTTAACATGTATTTAGTATTACAAAAGCACCCACTTCAGGCCTGGAATGTATTAAATGTCACTTAGTATCTAACAACCTTCCCACCTCATCCCTGAGGACTTGAGTACTTGGCTCATGGTATTTCACTTATCAGTCTCTCAGTTCCTTCAATATGTCCCCTGATGGCATAAATAGCTACACCACATCATCTACCAGCACCAGTTAGCATACTAGATCTAATCATTACCTGGAACTATTCTACTTCTGAAATGGTAAACTCTGGTTATTATCAAAGACCTCTCGGTTCTTTCTTACTCAATCCTGTAACAACAGCTCTTTAATCTCTTACATATCTCCTTTTCTTTAATCTGTCATTTCTTCCGGTCTATTATTCTTCTCAAACCTCTTCCACCCTTTCCACTGCCTGGATTCTAGGATTGATGATTTAAACATTTTCTTACCAATACCATGTGTTATTTTCCTTCTTGTACAACTCCCAGAAAAACTTCAAAATTGGGTTGGTGCTATGCTTTTCCCCTTCTACCTGAATGATTACATTTTGATGGAGAAAACCACATAATCATGCAAGCTCCATCACTATACACTAATGGTCTCCAACCTCAGCCAGGACCTCAGCATCACTTATCAATTCTCTGATTTTTCAACTTTCATTTTTCCTAATGACTATTCCAAACCTTCACCACCTTCTTCAAGCATCCTTCTCAAGTCCCATACCTTGAGTTCAGTAAACAACCTTTGCACCAAATTCATCAAGATAATTGGGGGCGTTAGTTATTGGAGTTTCAGAGATCCATCCTTGGCTACAACTTTCTGGTTCCATATTCTTCTTGAGAGATCGCTTCCACTTTAATGGTATAAACACTACTTTATACTGATGACTTTTAAATCCGTGTTTCCACTTGGAGTTCTCTACCTAGTGGACATCTGTGGTTGGAGGCCCCATAGTGTCTTAGTCTGTTTCTGCTGCTATAACAAAATCCCTTAGATTGGGTACTTTTTAAGCAACAGAAATTTATTTCTCACAGTTCTGGAGGTTGGGAAATCCAAGTTCAAGGTGCCTGTAGATTCAGGGTCTGGTAAATGCCTGCTCCTTACAGATGGTGACCTCTCTGTGTCCTCCCATGGCAGAAGGGACAGAAGGGGCTAGCTAACTCCTTGAAGCCCTTTCATAAGGTCATGAAGCTTGCTCATGAGGGTTGTCCTCATGACTTAGTCAGCTTCTAAAGTTCTCACTTCTTAATACTATCATATTGACAATTAAGTTTCTTTCTTTTTTTAGATGGAGTCTCACTCTGTCACTCAGGCTAGAGTGCAGTGGTGCAATCTTGGCTCATAGAAACCTCTACCTCCTGGGTTCAAGTGATTCTCCTGCCTCAGCCCCCTGAGTAGCTAGGACTATAGGCATGCGCCACCATGCCCGGCTAATTTTTTGTATTTTTAGTAGAGATGGGGTTTTACCATGTTGGCCAGGCTAGTCTCGAACTCCTGACCTCAAGTGATCCTCCTGCCTCGGCCTCTCAAAGTGCTAGGATTACAGGCATAAGCCACCACACTGACTAACAATTAAGTTTCAACATATGAATCTGGGGGAACACATTTAGATAATCGTATACAGGTACCTCAAATTCAAAAGGCTCCAAATTGAACACATGATTGTTTCCCTGAAACCTGTATGTTCTGCAGGACATTACTCTCTTTCTCAGTGCTGTGGGGGTAGGGAGAGTAACCACTCTCCATCAAAGCTAGCAGGCCGGGCTCATCCTTGAGTCCTTTCTCTTCTTTACCTTCCACATGCAATCAGTTTCAAGTCCTGCCAAAATTTCCTCATGTTCTTGAAGTTTATCCCCACTTCTCTGTCCTTATTACTGTCTTCCTAGTGCACTCTCTTGATTGAATTAAACTGCCTGCACTGCTTCAAAGCTTCCAAATTTTTTGACCTCAGGCTTGGCTCCCTCAAATCTATCTGCAAAAGATCACTGTTGCCAGGCGATCTTTCTAAGCACAAATCTGACTACATCACATTCCCACTTAAAATCCTGCATGGACTCCCCATTACCTGCAGGATGAAGTCCAAGCTTCTTGGCATGACATACACGGCCATCTGTGACCTGGTTTCAGCTTCTTTCTGCAGTGCCTTCACTTACCAATCCCTACCTGACCCCTCACACTTAGGCCACAAAGAAGAGCTTGCAGTTCCCTTGATCTACAGTGTATTCATAATTGCTTGCCTCTATGCCTCTATTACTTTTCTTTCTTTCTTTCTTTCTCTTTCTTTCTCTCTCTTTCTTTCTTCCTTTCTTCCTTCCTTCCTTCCTTCCTTCTTTTCTTCCTTTCTTCCTTTCTTCCTTTTCTTTCTTTTCTTTCTTTTCTTTCTTTCTCTTTCATTTTTTTGAGACAGAGTTTCACTCTGTCGCCCAGGCTGGAGTGCAGTGGCGTGATCTCAGCTCACTGCAACCTCTGCCTCCCGGGTTCAAGTGATTCTCCTGTCTCAGTCTCCAGAGTAGCTGGGATTACAGGCACCTGCCACCATGCTCGGCTAATTTTTGCATTTTTAGTAGAGATGGGGTTTCACCATATTGGCCAGGCTGGTCTCAAACTCCTGACCTCATGATACGACCGCCTCAGCCTCCCAAAGTGCTGGGATTATAGGCGTGAGCCACTGTGCCTGGCCACGCCTCTGTTACTAATGTCCCCACTTCCTAGACCATCTTTCCACTTCTTCACCTTTATCTAGCCAACTCCTACTATCCTTTAAGACTTAGTTAGTGGGTCACTTTTGGTAAGACTTTCTTGGCAAGCCTTTCTCGCAAGCTCCATACAGGGTAGGCAACACTGACCTTGTGTTCACACAGCTCCCTGTTGATTGCACTGAAGACGTCTCCTTGTACTTATCCGTGTGTGTGTCTGTATCACAGTTAGATTGTGAGCTCTTTGAAGCGTGGGACGGCACATTGTTTCTTAATGTTGAACAAATGGATGAATGATTCATTAACGAAAAACTGTTTTACACCTGAAATGATTTCTCCGCTTTACAAAAAAAGGGGGAGAGGAAGTAATTAGTGTCAACAAACATTGTGATTATTTCTCAGTCTGACTATGATTAACAGCAGGTATAGTGAATTCAAATGGCACTGTGAGATCTGGAGGTGCGCAGAGTGCACTGTGTCCCAGGAGAAGAACCTGGAATTCTCTGTAGCCACAATAAACTTGCAAGACTTCTATTACATCAACACAAAACTCTCATTTGAGTTAAATCCTCTATGTTTATAGAAAGTCTTACTTGCTGAATGAAAAATCGTTTACTACACCTTGTTAATAACATATAGATTCTTGGTCTCAATAAGTGAACAATGGAACAGTGGAGAACAAACTAGAGTTAAGAGTTATTTTCCGGCTGGGTGCCGTGGCTCACGCCTGTAATCCCAGTACTTTGGGAGGCCGAGGTGGGTGGATCACCTGAGGTCAGGAGTTCAAGACAAGCCTGGCCAACATGGCAAAACCTCGTTTCTACTAAAAATACAAAAATTAGCCGGGTGTGGTGGCACGTGCTGTAATCCCAGCTACTCGGGAGGCTGAGGCAGGAAAATCGCTTGCACCTGGGAGGTGGAGTTTGCTGTGAACCGACATCGCGCCAGTGCACCCCAGCCTGGGCGACAGAGTGAGACTCCGTCTTAAAAAAAAAGTTGTTTTTTTTTCCTTCCTGTACTATCTTTCTTTCCAGGGGCTTTACAAAAACCCTGAATCTAGCTAATGCAGAAAGCTAACCTGCTTGAACAATACCACACTTCCAAGCATTTCTTTTTAAAATTCACGTGAGAAGGTAAGGGAGGACTGGCATATTTCTCCTGAAGTTCAGTATCGAGTATTTATGAACTTAACTATTATTAAGTCTCCTTTTGTAGTTAAACTAATAGTAAGCAATGGTGATGGGAAAAAAAGAGCTAACTGCTAATAATAATAATTGATAAAGAAGTTACAGTCCTTGAATGCCCACTGAGTGGCAGGTGCTTTTCACAAAGTATCATATTTATGCCTTACAGCATCCTTTTGAATAGAAATTTATTTTTCCTTTTTCTGTTTGAACAACTGAAGTTCATTGAGCTCAGATAACTTGGGGCAGGTCCAACGGACGAGTTGGGAAGACTCTGGGGCCAAAGGCCACCAGGCCACACCACGCCTCTCCTAGCCCTGAGTTTGGCTACCTGCTTGCGTGCATGTGCAGGCAGGGCGGGTGGGTGGTGGGTGAGGAATCAGATGAAGCCGCCTAAGGAACTAAACATGTGGAGTGGTGGAAAGGCGTATAAGCGGTGGGCCGCTGGAACCCTAAGAGAGACTAGGCAAAAACCGGGAGAAGGGATGCACCCGTTGGCGGCTCAGAGAATTTAGGTAGAGAGGCGAGGGGCGGGGCCGAGGCGAGACTGGGGCGGGGCCTCGGGGACGGAGTCGACCATTTGGGGACTTGCCAGAAGAGCCGCCTCTCCAGGGGAATGAAAGGTGAGGGGAGCGTGAGTACAGGCATGATGGGAATCTCCGTGACTTGCTAAGGCAACTCATCCTTACCTGTCCTACACCCAAGAATAGGCTCTTCTATGCTCCCCTGGCGTATCTCTCTTGCAAAGTAGGCATGTCAACGACGGGGAGAGGGTCCTGCAGAGAGTGTGCCCCCCTCCGCCACTTGGTACGGCCCGTGCCCCCGCCGCTGATCTGGCAGGCTGCGCGCGCACCCTTCGGCGGGGCGCGGGCCGGCGGGGCGCAGCGGCCTCTACGGCCCGCCTCCGTCTGCTTCTCCCCGGTCCCTCCTCCCGCTGCTCGCGTGCTCCGGGCCGGCCCAGCACCCGCCGAGTTACGCGCCCGCGCTCCTCGGCGGGGAGGAGCGCGGCCGCGGGGGCGCGCCCCGGTGACTCCGCCCCCCCAGCTCCCCTCCCCTGAGCCCGGGAGCCCGGCTCGCGCGGCTAGGTGCGAGGAGACCCGGGACCCCACGCCCGCCCGCCCTGCCCAGCGCCCCCGCCCCGGCGTGCGAGGCGCCGCTCCCTCCTCTGCCCTGCGCGGTGCATGGAGGGGCCCGTTCGGATCGCAGCCGCCGCCACCGTAGCCGCCGCCGCGCGCGCGCCAGGGGATGACCTGGGGGTGGCTTTCCGAGCCGGCTGCCGCGCAGGAGGTCTGGAGGCTTAGCCAGCCCCGCGGAGAGGTGCGGGTGCGGGTGCGGGGGTCCCGCCGCAGGGTTGGAGGGGGGGTGGCGCGCGGGCGCTGGGCTTGGGGGGCCTTGGCTTAGGGGGCGGGAGGTCCCGGGGACTGGCGGGCTGGCGTTCCCCGGAGGGCGTGGGGGTCCAGGGCTGCGCGCGGGGTTTGGATGCTGATGCGTGCCGGGCGGTGAGCCCCGGCTTTCCGCGTCCTCGGGCGCTCGGAGCCACCTCGCGGGAGGAGGCGGGGTGAGGTGTCAGTGACACGACGAAACCTCTTCTTGACGATGGTCCTCGGGGGCAGGTGAGATGCCGCAGAGTGGGGAGCTAGGGCGCCCGGGCGTTTTCCCAAGGGAGCAGGGTCCCTGGCCTCTCTCAACCTCCATCCCCGCAGAGCGCCCGCGAGAGACAGTGATTTATGTGTAGGGAGAAGCAGGAGAAATTTCCTGCACAATGTATCTTTCTCTGCCTTCACAAGACTCAGTGACTTCCCAGCCCCAGGGAGTGTATTTTTCCTTCTCCTCTGTAAAGCTTTCTGTGGATTGCATTATCATTTGCTAAATACATTACAGCTCGCTATTTATTTCAGTCGGCAGCTTCCAGACCTTTGTTGCTTTCTCTCCACATCTAGGAATTTCAGCAATAAATCACTGAGGGGGATAGATAGACTCTCTTGCCCTTCCCTTCATTGTTCTTCCTAACCCCACCAAATCAGGTGGAAGGCTCTCCAAAAGGAGCTGTTTCCAGAGTGCCTGCCCTTCCTCATCAGGACGACAGAGGGTGGCAGGTGCTTTAAGGGCAGACTGCTTTGCAGTGGGAATCCAGAATTTAGGGAACCTCATCAACAGAAAGTCAGCCTTTGTGTCCCAAACCAGACACCTTGAAAAACGGGAGGTTGGACTAAAAGCTCACATGAGATTTATTTTCAGGCCTATGCCAGTAAAGATGAAAGAGGCCAAGTCAGAGAATTCTGATTCCTTTCTGCGCTGATAACATAACCCTCACATTCCCAACTGACACTTGGCATACCTAGTGGACAGTGTGTCCAAGGAGAGGAAGGTGGGGAGGATGTTAGAAAGTGAAATGAGTTTATTGTCAGCATAATTCTAAACATTCTATGACATTTTATAGTCACCCTCAGTCTATTTTTAGCTGAAAATTTGGGGATAGTTAAACTTTTAGGATAAGATGAAAGAAAACCTTCAAAAAATTTTCTAGAAATTTTAAATTAGTGCTTAGCTAGAAAGCACTCTTCGGAACCAGGGAAGCATCAAATACTGCAGTCTCTGTTATGCACATGTTGAAATGAACTGCCTCACACTTGAAGTTATATGAGAAGGATGGAGAAAACCTGTTTCATTTTGTAAAGACGTGCCCTGGGTGTGTGTTTGGCAGTGTGTAGAACAGAAACATTTATATTGCTATTAAGAAACACACAAATGTGTATTGTTTAACTTTCATGCAAAAACTTCCCAGTGTTTGGGAAATCTGTCTGTCTTTGAATGGTTTAGTCAACCAGGAAAATCAGTTACTAGAGGTACTGTGCTGTTGTTTGTGTAATAACTCACTTGGGATGCTTTGATTGATTGCCATGGTTCTCATCAACCTCCTCTTCTGTGCAAAGTACTTAAACAGCTCTGACTCTCAAGCCTTCAAGTACAAAGAACCCTTAGGACTTGGATACTGATCTAGCTTGTGTAGCTTGGCTTCTAAATCTATCTTATGCCTTGCTTTCTTTGCAGGTGGTTTGACTTTGCAGGAAAGGAATTAAGTTCACTTTAAGATAGGACTTTCTGCCCCAGATCGTCGAGGTATATACAGATGAAGGCAGTAGGTGGGAATAGGAACTTCTGTCCTAGGGCTTTGCTCTAAAGAGGGCAGGTAAAAATTTGTTGACTATTTATTTCTTGGGCTTTCTTCTTCTTTTCCCACTTTGCCCATCTGCCTTCATGACTTTGTAGACAATTTCATGTATGGTTTTGTCGAAATGTAAGTTGAAGTAAAATTTTCCTTCTGTAGAATTTTTTTTCTTTGCGAACATTTGGACTAAAATTGGTGATTGTTTCGAAGTTAAATGCTAGGGAAATGATTTCAGGAATTAAATATTATCTTAGTAAAAATCAGGGAAGGGTTAGAAAATAAATAATGAATTGAAAAATGTGTTGCTTTAACATGTAATGACATGAGCCAGTGCCCTGTGATCAGCTGTGGCATGATGTAGAAGTATGGGTAAGACAACACAGTGAAGCTGTAGATGAGCTGTGTACATGGTAGCCCCCCCCCTTTTAAGTAAATAAACTTAATACAAACTAATTAGATTAGAAACAGAATTTGGAGTCTGGTTGCCAAATATGTTGCTTTGAAGGACTTGCTTTCTTACAGTATTTTTTTGATGGGGAATTTTTTTCAAGAAATTTCATGAACTTGAATTCGAGAATGTTTTATTTTTACTTAAATTTTTATATTGTGTGTAAACATTCCATGTGATAAGTTGTTGTTGTGTATTTGGCACTAATTGACTTTCAACAGCACAGGGGAGGGCTTTACTTGATTCTCTTCTGTTAAAAATAAGGGATGGTGTATGGAATATTCTTAATGTCCCTTGAAAAATATTGGATTCCAATTAAATGAAAAACTGGTTTGTTGGTTTTTTTTTTTTAATCCTTCAAGTTTTCCCTCATTGTTTGTGCTCTTTCCTCCATTGTCAGGCTTAAAACATACAGTATCATTGTCATCTGTCCCCTGAATAATGGTCCTGAGGTGATATTATTAATGTGGCTTTTTAAAATCAAGCTAATTATACTTGCCTAAAAGAGCCACATGTGTGTGATTCTAGCTGCCTGGTGCCTTTTGAGAGCCCTGGAGACAAGCTAGTGAATAGAGCTGAAAATTCATTCTGTATTTGATTAAATGGAACAGACTCGCTGCTCCTTACCCCAGCAGGGGCTATGAGATCTCTTGATCCCCGAAGCGGCTCCAAGACCCTGGGAATTCCATTAGCGAGCACCTGAGGAATTTCTGCCCTGCAGTGCCTTTTTTGTATGTGTGTATGTGTGTGTGTGTGCAGAGGGAGTGGAGCAGAGCAGGGATTGGGGGGATGTGGGCAGGGGGGAGTTGAGGGGGTGGAGGGAAGGCTACATTAGAAGACTCCATATGTTGGCAGATCTAAAATCAAGGCATGACTTAACAGCTTATCTTGCAAGAGAAAAGCCCAACCCAAAGGCAGATTGCTAGTCCAGACTTTATTACAAGCAGGACTGCAGTGATGTGTGTTTAGCGCTGAAGTGAACTCCAGTGTAAGTACAGAAAGTGGCTTCTCTGCTTTCCCTCCGAAGCACAAGCTTATACACGTTGCAGACTTGGTAAGTTTTCTTTGAATGATCTTTTGATAAATATGTAAAATTATCTTACTGTTTGGTCTTGCCTGTAAAGGCTGATGTATCGTTTTAGTAACTTTCAAACTGAGAGCAAAATCAGACTTCATGTGAAACAAATTGTTTTGCAGTGATGAAATGCTTGTTTGAATAGGCATATTTTAGTTTACTCTTGATAGAATTTGATTGTTTCTGTTACATTATTATTATTATAGAATTCTAATTTAGATTGTCTTTTCTGTTGTCTTTTTAAGAATTCTATCATTTCTCGTGTTTTTGAGGCATTACTTTGCAGACTTGCTAGCAGCGCCAAGTAAATGAAAACGTATCTGCCAAAAACATTCTGTATAATCTTTGGAGCAACATTTTTGAGAAACATTAGTGTGTCTTCCTTCCCAAGTCTCTCTTCCCGTGCCTCAAATAATGTTTGGGCACAACCTTTTTTTCAGAATATTAGCCCAGTTTGTTTCTTGTGTACTTTTCAAGGAAGACCAGTTCCAAATGGTGGATAGTGTAGTTAATTGGTTTTCGTCTACCAAGAATGTGAATTCCAATGCTCCTAGTTTTCAGCTAATGCAGAAAGCAGTAGCATATTTGATGGTTCATTTGATATATTTTGTTTCCAAGTAAAATCGTGTTGTAAATAGTGCACAGCCTTTTCCGTCCTGCTCCCTTGTAGCCCTCTACCAAATTCTCCTCACAATACAGTGTGTTTAGAAAATAAAGAAGCCTTTTTGAAGATATGTTTAGCTTTTTTTCCACCTTAATCCTGGGCGTTTCTCCTACTACTCTGGCCAAATTGAAGGGACCCTGGAATGGATTGGAGTAAACTCTGCAGTTTGCGTCTGTCGCACTCACAGCTGTTTAGTCGCTTTGCTGTGCGGTGTATTTTGATGGTCAGAGAGAATTAAAAACTAGCCCAAAGAACATTTTGTTCTGCTGTATATCTTTGGAATGTAAGTAGGGACTCCAGTGCTTACGAGCCACTGATGTGCCTTTAATCTTACGTGAGAAAAAAATATATGGGTTATATTACTGAACTTAAGTTACATATTTTGTTGATGTTTTGTTACTTGGAACTGTGAGGCCGATTTTATTTTGATATTACCCTAATACAAACAGGGAATTCGGAAGCTGACGCGGAGCTTGCTTTTCAGCTATTCTCGTTCTAGACCAGCTCACCTCTTGTTATTTATGTGAGCCTGGGCAATGATCTTGACTTAAGCCTTGGGGGTCTTTATCTGTAAAGTGGGGATAGTAACAGAAATGATGTCTTACCACTGTTGTGGGATTAAATGAGATAATGAAAGTCAAGCACTTGGCATATAGTAAAACCTCTGTAAATGTTAGCTGCTGTTATTTTTATGAACTCCTCCTGTACGTGTAAGTGTATTACTTTGATCCAGAAGAGATCTCTTTGAAATACTCAATAATGAGGAGTTCTCAGAAGCTAGTAATAGTGCCAGCACATGGAACACTACAGCTTTCTTAAATTTGCAGTTGAAACTTAGAAGGCAGTTGGACATCATGTGTTATTTTTTTCCAGTTGAGGTGTAGCATAGTAATATACACAAGTGTACAGCTAATGTATACTAAGTGAACAGCTAGATGAATTGTTACATATGCACATGTCT